GGCAATTTCCGTCGCCATGCACGAAGCCACCACCAGTGCTGGGTGAATCGCGGGCGTTCGCAGCACCCCGGCTTGCGACCTGCGATTCCTACCGAAAACGTTCGTCATTCGCCTTGTCTTTGAGGTTAGGAAGCGATCGTCTTTTGCAACCTCGACCCGTCGCGGGCCATCTGGACGTTCTATTTTGCGATCATTGGATTTCCTCGTTTCGAAAGCGCAGAAACACTCGACTTTTCCTCGATTGGCGACCCGATTCTGCCGATTGGAGACTGATGACTTCCGCCGGAAATTTACGTAAACAAAATATTCTATAACCGAGTTCTATATATCGTTAATGTAAAAAATATTCAAACAAGGGACATTTTTTTTATAAAAAAAATGTTTTGTTCTAATATAATCAAAAGAACTCCGCGAAAATAATCGTATTCTTAAAAGTTAAATTTATCGATTGTATTAAATATTTTTTGTGAGTCCAAATAATTTTTTATTGCCGTTTATTATTACGATAATATAATATTTTAACATTATTATACATTTTTTAAGTAAAAAAGTTTTGAGAATTGTACAATCTATTTCCTTATTAATAATTCTTTTATTAATAATGTTTACTTTCTAAAAATATGGTTTTTAAAAAAAATATTGATACAAATACTTTTTGCACTCACACTGTATGCATTGACCGCGCAATAAATAATTTTAATCGTGGCTCGTTTATTTATTGAATAGAAACCCAAAAAGTTTCATTGAATATCTCAAACCTACGAGTATTCGAGGGATTGTGTCAAAACTTTTTCAATGTTTCATATCGGTTTAATCTCGTTTTATCCCATGTTTACGTTCTCTCAACCGCGATACGTGTAAAACGCATAAAGATATCTCTTATTTTATTGTTTCGATAATCCCCCACTTATATTTTCGCTACTCTTGCTTTTCGACTTTTGAAACATATAAATATCATCTTTTATATTTTCATTGAAGCAAATTTCATCTTTGATTAATCCTAAAACCCCTACATACGTATGTATACCTGCTGAGAGAATACTATGACAAAATGACAATAAATATCTAATTCGCAACCCGATTTAAGATTTCTGACCTTTAGCAATTCTGTAATTGGAAGTATACACAATGAAATGTGTCCTACACATTTATATTTTCTTTGAAACACTCAAAACATCTGGCAAACTATAATAATCCGTAGTCCTTTTCTTTTAAATGCCTGTCCTTATAAATACATTCTAAAAAAATGTTAAAATATATGTAAAAATCACTTACAAGAAAAGGCTCCCAAGAAAATTTTAAAAAATTATGAAACTTTAGCAATACAAAGAAGATATCCTGACATATAATAACCAATTTTGTTTCCTGTCTGAATTCACTCTGAAGGGGTAAAATTAACTTTTGAAGATTATTTTTTGTTTTTATTGTATATTATTCACCAACAATAGAAAAATCAAATTTTAGAGAGAAAATTTGGTAAATATATAGAAAAAGGGAATCTAATTTGACACGTTGTCAAGGTCATGGCCCTGAGTGATTTTCAAGAGTTGACGATATTCGTTAAAAGATTAACTTAATAAAAGAAGTTTAAGACATATTGTCTTATTTTTAGTACATACAATACAATATTAAATATACTATACCTTACATCCTTTGCTTACAGGACATAATGACTTTTCCACGCAAAGCTAGATCTCACCCCCCCCCCCCCCCCCCCCCCAGTCTAGGGACGTAACGACACTTCATGCGGATGAATCTTAGGTCTGTTCGCGTTGCATGAAATCCCCAGATATTTTTGCACTTAAAACGAGAAGATATATATTTGGCTTTGAAAAGAGAGAAAGCGAAGATGCCGAGTGCAAAAAGTGCGAGCAAATCGAACAGACCTCTTGCCTTGCGTGGAAAGTTAGTGCGCCCCTAGGCAGGGAGGCGTCAAACATTTTAACAATGAACATCAAAAATGAATTTTATAAATATCTTCTTCTATACACTTAACATAAATTCTATATCATTTTGATTAAAAAAATGTTACTATTTATAAAAACTCGTTTTTTTAGTTGATACTTTTCTCCGAAGTAAAAAAGTAACTTACTTAGTTGATTAAAAAAAAATTTGTATTTTTCATCTATTGTTTTAAGGAATAAAAGCCTAAAGTTTCGTAAGAGAAAAGCGTCAATTAAAAAAAAAAATTAACGACGCTACTCCGCGCGCAGAAAGTACGGATTTTAACTCGGTGTTTTCACGGTTCGCTCATCCAACATTGTCGGGTCTTCGCAATGTTATAGCTTCGACGTCGCTATATAGAGCACGAGCGTAACAGTTTCCACCGTCGGTGATTTCCATTCTCCTTTCGCGTCGCACCGCGCCGCACCGTGCCGTGCTGTGCTGACTCTCGTTCGAAAAAGTATGAAAACAATAGGCCTGTGCCGGGGCCAGACCGGAGTGAGTTACAATCGCGCTTGTGGGACCGGAGCGAGGACGAGCAATTCCTTAAGTCCTAAGCACTTTCACGCGATTACGTCAGATGCATGATTTTTTGAAAATTTGGTTGAAAAACAATATAACATACTTACACGCCGACGAGCAATCGCGTCTCGTTGGGTCGGGTTGCAAATATGTTTGGCTAAATATAACACGCAGACATACAGTTTTTATCCCCGCTCTGGCGACGTGATTTATAATAATGTATTATATGACGTTACTCGCACTCGGAGTTCTCTTCCTCTCTCTCTCTCTCTCTCTCTCTCTTTTTTCCCCCCCCCCCCCCCTCTCTCTCTCTCTCTCTCTCTCTCGTGGAAAACTTCTTTCCTGCTGCGCAACGCACGGTATATTTAAAAACAGGCTTCGCAATTTAGTATGTAATATTAAACTGAATAGCAATCGATCGTCACGTGGCGAAAAAATTCCGCTCGCCTCAATGCTCGTAAAAGAAGAGACCAACGAGACGTCAATACATGAAACCTAAATAATACCTTATATATATGGAAAATCATTCACATACAGAAATAAATATTGCATTAAAAAATAATAAATGTTTTATGGAAATATATGGGTGGTTGCTATATATATTACCCGTTATTGTACGAATAATAGAAATTAATTTTTAGAAATATTATTATTTCATTTCTATACAATAATAATCGTGATTGATGTCTTTTATAAGCTTCTCAAAAACCAAACCAATCGGCACTGTTATAAAAAAAAAACAGAAAAAATATGTAAAGTTGTGAAAGATTGTTAAAATTGTAAAAAATTTAGAAAATCAGGATTAATCGGTTTTATTTCTGATGTCAATTTCGACTAATATATTAAGATTAACTTTAAATTAAGCAGAAAGTATTTTACTTTCTAAATTTTGTTGAAGTGCATCTCACTTCAAAGAATTTAGAGATTGCTTATTTACTTATTTATATTTATTCATTAAATTTATTTATTTAAATTTAGTTATTTATTGTTATTTTAAATTAACTTTAATTTCAGTTCAACTTGCTTCTTATATTTTTTTAGTTTCAATATTGTAAGAGTTAAAAGAAGATAAAGAATAAGTTAAACGACATTGAAATTTATCTACATTGATACATAATAGAAATGAACATGAATATATTTATTTGGTTTATCTGAAATTGTTTCTTTAATACTGACATAATTTCGTATCTCCGGCCTGCCGGAGCTACTTGCCACCACGTTACGCGCCGTAAGAAGTGACACAATATAATAAAAATAAGAAATCTTAAATCGGTCCGAGCCCGCATCGCGGAATATCTTCCCGTTTATGAGCCAAGTGAAACCGGATCTTCGAGAGAAGGCGGCGTGTCAGTGCCAATATAAAGACAACCGGCGCGAAATACTTCTAATTTGGTGCACGCTGGAATCGTGTGAAACGAATGCGGAACTTTCTGACCCCGCCCGCGAATAATTTTAGGCGATAAACCGTGTGTGAGCCATTTTTAACAATCCATGATAATTGTATTTCAGCAACGATACTGATGACGACAATACCTGAATCGAATTTACTGCCTGATATTGAATAAACGAGTATTACTAACGAAAAATTAATAAAAAATAATAAAAATTACGAAGCAGGTAAAATTAGGAACAAAATTGAGAAGAAAAAAGGATTAATGGGAATGCTTTGAAGAGCACTTTTTGTTAAACTCTTTGATCTATTTCTATTTTCATTGACAACGAATAAAAAGTGTAAAGAACATTACTAAAACGAATATATATATATATATACTTTCTTTATCGAATACAATTGAAAAAAAATGTCTATAGAGCACAAACGTTTCCATGTACAAATTTTCTATAGAATTATTTGCTTTTAACAGAACTGCAAATAGTAAAGTTTTATTTATTTCCTATTTGGCGTTTTAAATCAGCATTGAAAAATTTTCTCTTTTATGTTTTAACTTCTTCAATTTTTTTGAATGAAATTTCACTCTTTTTAAATAAGATTTACGTCAAAGAATTTAGAGAGAGACCTGTACTTTTATTACTTTTTTCTTTATCTTTAAATCAACCTAATCCTTATCCAGAAGTTGACTTTTATGAAACTAATGTAATAGAATTTTTCGTGAATTTGAAAGTTTCACCATAGGATTTTATTTTTTACGAATTTTTAAGAATCATTGATAAGCAAATATCTGTTACATGCAAAAATATTACCGTAGTTGGGTAAGTTAATGTTTTTATAAAATTGACGAAGTTATGAGCGTTCAAGTATACGCTTCGCAAGTGACAATTGCACGCGGGACAAAGATAGTCTCTTTCGAACTTTTTGTGAGTCATCATTTATGAGTATTATATATGAAGATATATACTTGTATTAATGAATACGAAAAGTCAAAATAGCAACGAAATTTATAATCAGCTGATATGGAAAATCAATCCAAAAATTATTCCGATTAAAGTGGATTAAAAACTATCGAACCTGCTGCACGTATCTTCGCCCGCAATGTTTAACGAAGGTTCCCACGGTATTGTTACAAATATTTGAGTCCATGAAGGTACAAATGCCCACCGATATGTGGCGACAGAGGATGCAGTCCGCATTGAAACGACCGACTACCGCACGCTGCGAGGTATCCGAGAAGAAAGAATGCTTCGTCGGCAGCATCAAATAGATGTTTCGGAGACTACAACCTCGTCAGAAAGTCCATTATATGGACCTGTAATAGATGACTCTATGTAAGTTAACAAATGAACATTTATTTAATTGTATGGCTGTCTTGAAATTTTAAACACTTTTTTCTCGAAATCGCATTTTCAAAATCGGTGATCAAAATATTTCGATATATATTTTGCATATATTTTCAAGTATTCTTTAAGTACTTCAAGATGATATAAAGTTTTATTGCAATCTCTACATCGCAATGAAACTTAATTTGCCTAAATCATATTAAATATTTCATATTAAATATTTCACTTGTGCAAAAAATGGAAAGTTTTATCATTATTTTTTAAATTAGTTTATGAAGACGCTATTAACATTCGGGAAGCTGCGAATAGCCTAGATTCAAGTCAAATTCAGTAAATTTCGACTCCCTCTAATCTTGGTCGTCGGCGTGCTATGCACATGTTGCATACTTGCTAAGGCACGCCTCTCATTACAACAATAAAAAATAATAACGAATAAAATAAGTAAACTATAAAAATAAATAAAAATAGAAGATCAATAGAAATAGAATGTTATACATATAAACCGCAAATTTTGTATATGTATAGTTTCTTTAAAACATAAATATAAACAGGTTTGTGAAAATGGAATATGATACATTTTTAATCGCGTCTTCAGAGATATCGCTATCTCACGTCTGTATTTTATCTTTTATCATAAGATTCAGTCGCGCAAAAAGCTTCACTAAGTCAATATGTTTACAAAAGCGATATATTTAACCGTTCCAAATGCATGTCAGAAAACACGCAAAGATTTTACTTATACAGTTAGACTTATCGAGACGAAGGATAAATAGTCGAATAGGAACAATTATTTACGCAGCTGTTGGGATATAAGTTACAATGTAACACGAGTTCCTTTCAGTTGGAAAAAAGGAGCGCCTTACGCTAAATTCATGTCTCTCTCTCTCTCTCTCTCTCTCTCTCTCTCTCTCTCTCTCTCTCCCCCTCTCTTTCTTCATCGTCGAAGTTAGCCCACAAACTCATCGGCGCGCGTCCGCCTCGCTACTTTCAATCACAAAACAATTTCGTTCGGACTGCAGTAATTACGCGGTGCGATGCGGCGATGCCGTGAACTGCACGCTAAAATTTTCCGCATGTCACCAGACCATCGCACCTGGTGCCCTACGGAAAGACACAGTTGAATGTACAAATCGTTGTCTAAGGACAGTATTCATGTACAGACCGTTCTTATTTTGAGGTTTTCTTAAGTAATGTCTTAAGATGCTAATACGGTTCCCTGATTGGATTATGACATCGTAAGACTGTATTCAAGACGGTCTTAAATATAAGATCTGACTGTGAATATCGCAGTGTTCGCGTTTAACGGTGGTCTCGTTTCTAAAGTTCGGTTAGGAATGTAGGTATATCAGCTGAAGAAGACCAATGCAAATAAAATTGCGCAATTTCGCTTGTAAATCTGGTAAATCCTCGATTCGAAAGAAGCAACTATTTATCGTTCATAGACGCTGAAAATGGTGCGATATTCGAGACGATTTGTTTTCTACGATATTCTCAGTGGGAAATCTATGAGTATGAACCGTTGATACACGAAAAACACAATCAAATCGATCTTTCCTTCTTTGTTTATACCTTCTTTCTTCACTCTTTCTCTTTCTCTCGATGTTCATCCTGTTTGTCCTCATCTCTCCTTTCTCTTCCCTTCTCTCTTCCTCTCTCTCTTCTCTCCCCCGCTCTTTCACCCTCTTTCCCTTTCTCATATAATATGAAACGAGTTTCCAGCGATTCAATGCCTTGGTCTCGCAAATGTGAAAGTACATTACTGCGGGCTCTGAAAGTTGTTTTGCTCGAAGGTTTACTTCTCGAACGGCCCTGGACCGTTCACCGAGAAAAGAGCTTCGCGAAAGAGTCTAACGCGCAGTGAAAAATCACGAGAAAGATGGAATTAGAAAGGATAAAGGAGAGAAGTATTTTTTCCGCACTCGGCAAATTGCGATTCCAACCATGCGATAAAGAAATCAACAAGAAGATCGACGCCGCACGAGAAAGGAAAGCGGATATGAACAAAACATTTATTATATATATTTAATTCGTCAATTATTCCAAATTTTAATTGTATAAAATGGACGAATCAAAATGTATTAGTCAAACGTCTCTCCTCATCTTTATATTATGTGTTTGTATTATATTTATAAAATGCAATCTCAGTATAAATTTATTTTATTTATAATATAGTATTTATTCTATTTTTTTTATATTACGTTTATATTATATTTTTATTTTTATATTTGTTGTCTCAATGCTCTTTTCCGTCATTGTATTTGCTAGTCTAAATTTTGCTCCTTAGCCTCGACCGGTATAAACTCGCCTTATCATTCCTTTTATCGCTTCCACTCGTGTGATCACACGTGTCTGTCCTCTCGAGACTATTTCGCCTCCGTGCCGTCACTCCATCACCTCCTCTCGACCGGATTGTATTTCTGTTATCCGTTAGTGCGTCATCAACGCATGTGCGGTGCATACGTGAGGAAAAGCGAGCAGAAGTGCATCACGCCACGTTATAGTTGAGAACATAATTATAAGCTTATACATAGGAATTACGTATTCAAAATAAATTACAACGTTTCGAATCGATTTTATTCAAGATGTGGAAAAAAAGAATTTTTTTGATTTGTTGAGCAGGGAAGCGAATCATTGATCCAACGGAAGATAACAAAAAAAGTTTTGAAAATATTGATTAACCTTTCCGGAAATGAAAATCTCAATGGGGTTTATGCAATAATAGGGCCGTCCCTGTAGGTCTGTCTCTCAAATCAATGCCAACGTAAGGTTTCGCTATATAGATATGTATAGATCTAATCAGCTTATTTACTAACACTCGGAGCATATAATTTTATTAGCGATAGTCGAATTTAGTCCATCTCGTTCTCATTTCTTTCTAATAATACCTCTTCACAGCACAATTATATCATACTTTTTGCGTTTACGATTATCGCGGTTTTCGCGCTTCGTAAAACGGGAAGTCATTTTATCTTTCCTCGCAAGTATGTTTTGCGACTTTCAAATCACCTTTTCCTTTTTTATATCGATCAACTCTTTAGCGATCGCGTGTAAAGAACGCTTGGTTGTCGATTTACGTAAAACAATATTTTCCATCGAATTTTAATTATACAGGATGATTATTTACCGTTATTTTCTACCTAAATTATTTTCATTATTTTTGGTAATATACGAAAAAATGAGAGGAAAATATTTGTTCGAAAGGGTTTAAATCTTTTCATTATTTCGGAAATATGTGTAATAAATGTTTAAATACGTTGATTGATGCAAATAACGGTAATATTACTGCAATATTGCTGTAATATTTCGTGCTGTAGGAGATCGTAAAACCTTAAACAAGGATATATGGTACATGACATCTAGGGAACACCAGGATGGAAATCCGAACATTCCCTAGAGTGTGAGAGATATATCCATTTTCTTCCAATTTGTAGCTTGCGAACATATCCACGATTATTTTTATACTTTTTTAAATATTAAATTTAATGACTTGGAATAAAGTCAAAAACGTTTGTTGGATTCTGAAATAATTTAAAAGTAACATAATAAAGAATTAAATGTGCTCCAATTACCACGCTTGATTTTCATTTATATTTTTCTATATTTGTATTATTATATTCGCCTTTTTTGAAAAGTCCTAATTGTATATTATTATTTTTAATTATAAAGTCACATCTGTAATAATATTAATTACAGAGAACATATGTAATATTGTTATATGATATTGATTTTAGAATACAAAAATATTTGACATATAAAACTATAGCTTTTTTTTCTTGAACTCCTATCTTTCTTGTTGTATAAAACGACAACTTTCACCCAGCCAAGGAAACTTTCAAGATGATATCGTGTCGAAAATATTGATTAGTGTCAGGTAATGCAATTGGACCGTACGACTTTCTATTGTCTCGTGAATTGAACAATTAACGAGTGACAATCGAATTACGTAGCGTTAATATTAAAATCGATTCTAGACGATATGTCATCAGCAATTCAAATGGAAGTCTCAATATACGCGAATCATGATTTTCATTATTATACAACAAGTTATTATTTTTCATTAACGTGAAAATAAAATCTAGAGCTTCTATAAATAAAATTTATTTTACAATATATAAATATGAAACATTATATCTCTCTGTCTATTTTTTAAAAGAATAAAAATGAGCTGGAATATTCGCTATCCTCCATTCAATTTATATCAAGTAAGTAAATATTATTCTCATAATTTTTATTTTTTTATTTAGTAAATTATAAATTGTTTTTATTTTTTTCCTCAAATGTTTATAGCATTATTATTTGCTAAAACGTGATATGTGGATGTATATCATATGTAAATATATGTATGAATATATTTGCAGTTCATTGAACTCGGGTTCGTGAGTTGACTAATTGTAAAAATGACTGAGAATCAGTAAGATAGTCTTTTTCCTGTAGGGCTTACTATGGTGTGTGTGTGCATGTGTATGTAATATACACACGCGCAATGTATGTATGTATGTACATATAATGCAGTATGGTGTCATTCAGCAAAACAGTATTGTAGTGACATCTTGAGTATGATATTAAACTTGCTCGAAAAAGTTAGAACAATCTTTATCAAAGGAACATAATTGAAGAAGATTTCAATATTATCAAAAGATGATACTGCAGTGGTATCAAGATTGCGTGACGTTTTATCTTATGTTGATAAAACATAAATATGCAGTTGATAAAAAATTTTGAAACTTTTTAATATTAAAATTTATAATATTGTTAGAAATATATAAACATCAAGCGGAATCTTTAGTGCTGAAATAATTATGTGTGAATGTTTATACTACGTCTCCAATCCCTCAAACTGCGCGCCGAATTTATTTTCAGTCTTGAAACGCAATTCTAATAGAACTTGAGTAGTAATATCACAAATTAAATTGACAAACAATTTAATTATATTGATGTTCGTAGGCATTGATTTTGATATTCCAATAAATATCCTAAAATTTATAAATAATTTCATTGTGCAAAATATTATCTCGGCCGAAGAATAATATTTTTCGACAAAAAGTTCGTTCCAATTAAATCTATCAAAAATAATATTATTCAAGTTATACTTTATTTTCCATAGATAGTTATGACTTCCCTGTTATCACAATTCTCTAACATAAATTGAAAGTAATATAATTATATATTTAATTGACACGTTATAAAGATACTTTAAATGAGACTACATTTACACATTAGAGCATCGATCTTTATGCAGATAAATGTCGTTTCTGACATACATCCATTGTCCTTTTATCGCACTCTGCGCACGTCTGAGAGTAGAAAAGCACAGGTGAAGCATGCACGTGGGGGAGTTCTTCCGCTTTTACAATCGTAAAACCGCAGGTGCAGCTTGTCACACAATGAACAATGCTCGTACACCTCGAACAATTTCGCAAATTAAACTGCAGTTTAATGCAATTTTTCACGAAGCGAAAAATTGCATCTTGTTTCCGAGTTTGCGATCAAAACGGTAATTTTCGCTTTACTCTAGCGCCATAAGTTAATTTAATTTTCACAAATTGATCTTATAATTGAGTACTAATTGACGCACTAATTGATTTACCGCGTACTCGTTCCCTCTTGTATTTCTTTGATAAAATATACCAGTGCTTATTGTACAATCAAATTGTGTGAAAATGCAATTAGTGTATGATTCTTTCATTAATTGAAACTTGTATAAATATTTTTTCTCTCTTTCTCTCTTTCTATCTCTCGCTTAAGTCACAGTTTTCAGAAATAAATGCAAACGAAATTAATAAGTAGCTTCCAGGAATTGACAAATCGTGTACAAAATATCGAGTCAGAAAAAATTCATGACGCTATAAATTTTTGTTTCGACCCGATATTTTGTATACAATTTGTCAATTTTTGGAAGCTACTTTTTGAAGCAAATTTCAAAATTTAAGCAGCTATAATTTCTTTAAAACGAACAAAATTTAAATTAAAAGAAAGGGAGAAGTTTTAAAGCTTAAAACCTCTATTTTCGAAAGATTACTATGACTTTTGAATTTTTGTGAGTTTGATAATTTTTACATATAGCAAACTACGAACTAAATAAAGTGGAAAGTTTTCCTTTCACTTTGTGGCTTTATCAGATGCCTAAAAAAACTGTTACTGAATTATTTGTTATTAAACTATTGTGAATTTAATAAAAAAGGAGCATTTTTATTTTGATTGCTAATAATTTTTTAAAAATTATTGTACTGCAATTAAAAAAACAAATACGTAATTAATTTTATTTTCAAATATAAAGTGTATCTAGATTCAGTTAATATTTTTGTGAAACTTAATTTAACTTAAACAATGTAAAGCTAAAAACGCTTAGAAAGCGTAACGCATACAATTTGTTCCCTACGAAGCCATTCAAGTATAGCGAGGAACTGCTCGCGCGTGCAAAGTTTAAGTTTCGCGAACTTGATAGTTTGATCGTCAACGCGTGCATGATCGATCACGCGAACCATATGGTTCACGTGCCCCCAGCATGGAAGTAATGGGTCATGGTTACGTAAAGAAGACCTTAAACGGCGATTACGCTCTGTTCTTATGTTTCGAAAGTTGATATACAGCGCATATGTTTCGGAAAAAAGAATATCCGATCTCATTGAATAGAAACAATTTCAGCTAGCGTGTGTGTTTGATCAATATAGAAACTTAATTTAATATAAAGTGAGTTTTCGAAAATTTTCTTCTTTTTTAAATATCTTTCACAGGCAATTAAGAATAATTATTTAGGATTAAATTTAATAATATAAATTTGTAAGATTTTTTTTTTTTATTAAAACGATAAATCAGCTTATAACGGTTCCATTAAATGGGTAATTTTTTATACGCTGCAAATGAAACAAGGCTCGTTGAATAAAATTTGTATAATCAATCAGGGTACAAGCATTTGATAAAATTTACTATTATCCTCGTTTTACTACGAAGGTCAATTGATACGTTATCATGGTCATTGTCATTTCTCTGAATATGATAAATTAAATCGATCCTACCAAGAGAAAGATAAAATATTATCATGGAGAAAACAGACGAAATGTACAATCATTTTGATAATTATAAATTAGGCAAAACAATTAAGTAATATAATAAATTGCAATTGCTGAAAGATAATAATAATTAAAGTAAGTGTAAGATAACATTATAAAAAATACGCTCTTTACCAATAAATCAAAATCTTAAGGTCCAGGTTATCTTGCAATTTTTATTTTTGATACTTTTAGGGTTTTTTCTTATACATATATAAAGATTGGTTACTCAATAATACGTTTCATTAATGTCATAATTAATGCGTTTATGGGAAGCCCTACTGAAGAGCAGGAAATGTGTACCATCCGTTTCTCCGCAGTCTTCCCAACCCCTTCGATTTCGATTTTGTCGCGATGAACTCTTAATCCGGAAGTCGGTGCTTTCGAAAGGAAATTACCTTCAAAGGATTCTGTGGGTCGACCATTTCCTGCAAACGTGTTAACGGAAATTTTAATATTTATGAAATACATAATAAGCGTCGGCTGCTGCTTGTCCCGGAATAAAAAAGCCGCCGATGCACTTTCATTCAGTGGTAGAAAGTATCAGAAAGTGGTGAATGACATCATATGTGGGATTGTGAAACATATAATGATTATAAATTGCTCGGCAATACATAATAAAGCAGCGAATTCGCGAATAAATGCACAGAAAAAACGATTGTTGAATTATCAACAAATTTAGATACAGATCTGAAAATAATTTTGTTAAGTCAAGATAATTAGAAAACTTAAAATAATATAGAAAATTCAAGCTTAATGAATAATGCTGCAGAAAAGTTCGATATTCAACAAACTTAAGCATCCTACATAATTATTTTGATAGTTTAACAAAATTATTTTCTGATCTGTATGTAGATACATAAAAAATATTATTAAATTAATTAAACAGAAACATATTTCATTTTTCGTCAATCTCATCCACTCTGATTCAACGATATTATTAATCGCCGTACCAAGTTACGAGTAAAGGGTTAATTTTTAGCAATAGACATTACACACCCGTTTCTTAAAGTTCGTTGCAAGCGCATTCGTTGGCATACTTTCGTGTTATTTACGGATATTACAATTACCTCGTAAAACTTTTTACACTTCGACGTGTTACGGACGATCGCCGTTGCGTCGCAACCGTTTCTCACGGAGGTAAAAAATGCTCTTCTGCGATGACGGTTGCTTCACGCAACATAAATTTTACGCGTGGAACCGTAGACTCTCCGTTCGCGTAGGTCCGTCTTTGCAGGTGTCCCTCGCGAAATTTTCGCACAATACGCATTCTGCGTATCGGTTCTCAGACCGTATACGTTAATCTGCGACGAGCCAACGCGATCACGGAAGGGTGGCGAAATTGAGTTAACGTGCGAGTTAATGCCCACGAAATTATGCTGCGTCGAATAAAAATTGGCCACTCCGCGATGCGTGTCGAATTAACACGCACTCTGACGCCTTGTGTGAGACAGTGACTTCTTAAACGACCGAAGAAAGCGTATTGTTATAAATTATCTATCTTTTGACATACTTGAAACAAGTGATTAATATTTAAATGCAATATGCACTTTTTTGTGTATTGTGAATATCCGGATACTTGAATGCGAAAGTACTAATGAAATAAGTCCTTTACACGTATTATTTGTTCACAAACTCTTCCAAAGATTACAAAGATTATATAGTTTCCTTCTCAATATCAATTTTTTTCTTGTAAAAACAGTTCGAAACATTTATTCGTTAATGGCGCCAATTTCGAAAAATGCCGATCGAATTAGGACGAGGAAACATAAAAGTGGAATTTATGTAAATTCTTTCTTTGTCCAGTTGTCTCGTCTCGCAGTCACACACTCCGCGTAAAACTGCCACGAAGCGGAGCAAATCGACATGCATTATTTATCGTTGGGGGTGCCTCTATGGGAAACTCTCTCTCTCGAGGGGGTGAAAACGTCAATACAAGTTTTAGTGAGAATTTCTTTGTTCTGTTCGTATTTACATAAATTATGCTAAACACTTTGGCTCAATTATAAAATACCGCATATGAAAATGGCCTAATCGTAGATTTCTAAGATTATTTGGAATTGTACAAAAGATTATAATAATGACTTTAAATGAGTGTTACAATTGGCATTATTCGCAGAATATTCGTGAAGCAATCGAAATAATCAATTATTTGTATTGTTGGTGCACCTTCCGTCGCGTATTGTGGATAACCACTCGCACGTAAAGGTCCAAAGAGATCCAAGAAAGGGGTTGGCACAAACAACCCTTCGACGCGGCAGATGGCCGATTGAACAAAATCGATCTCCGACTTGATCTATCGAAATCTGAACGTTGTGTCACCGCGGGGGCGCCTGGCCGCCTCTTGACGTTATTTTTAACAATTTCCACATGACGATCGACTGATATAAACGTCGAAGGGTTTCGTAGCACAGCAGATGTTCCCGTCTAACGCGTCTACGATACTCCGCTTCGGTGTTTGCATCACCTCGGTGTATATTTTCGATAAATTAGACGGCTTGAATAGATCCTTAAAGAAGCTTAATCACGATAGCGCGTCAGCTCAGCGCAGTCTAACCAGAGAAAAAAGGGAATTGCCCAATGATTTCGTTAGGCAAAGATCGCTTGATAAAGACCGTAGGGTTTCGTGACCGAGCAGATGCTTCGAAACTCGAAACGTCGTATACCGTTTTTTGGAATTTTTTTAACGTTAAGCTGTATCGTTTATCCGTGTCGACATCTAAATTTACGACAAGGAGAGATCGTTGTAAAAAAATATTTTTCCAACAAACGAAAACACAATACAGCAAAATCGAACGCAATGTAGTTTCGGCGATGTAGGAAATTGACAGACGAAATATCCAGGCGAGCCTTGAATTAGACAGCTGAAAGAATAATGGCATTTCATTAGTAAGAGGGATCAATGATTGGTACGGGCTTAATGCGTGATTAATGACCACCGGATGTGTCGCATGACCACGTTGAGCGCGATTTTTCGTCATGACAATACTCGCTGCCTTTTTCCACCATCACGTGCTGCATGTTGAGATATAGTTGTAACCGCAACCACTCGCGAATCAACGAAATTAGAAAAGGGGTGGCTTGCATAGGAGGGTAAAAGGAGACCGGGTTTGTTTCGCTGGCCTCGATTGCAGCACAGCATGAGTCGCCAACAAAGAAGATAATAATACGACGGAAACGAAAAGCCAGACAATAATGTGTGGTGGTGTAGGCAATATACAGCGGAAAGGGGTGCATTCGTGCGTGATTTGTTAATTGTTACAGTGTGTTTGTTACATTTATTAAATTGAATAATGTATCAATAAAATTATGCGCTGTAATAATATATAATGTCGATTTGAAAATATAACATCCATTTTTTAATATTGATTGCATGTGACTGCAGTTAAACGAGAAGCTTATTTCCGAATTATTTTAAATTTATCAAAGTCAAGATTATACCTTATAGACCCAGAATCGAGAAATTTGAAGGAAATTAATAAAGAGCAGAAATTTTTATAAATTATCATCGAGAGCCTAATTGCGATACTTATAGAGTACGACGCGTCATATCGATTGGTTCCGAGAAAAGGGTTAGAGATATCTTTATCGGACCGTCTGGCCAAACACGAAATGATAAGACCAACCGAAATTCCAGTATTGTCGGGGGCAGGGATATTTTATTATCTATATTAACCCTTGTCGCACGAGCGATAATTTTATTCTTTTAGGAAACAAGTGGACTGATATTCTCTTTTGTGACAGTTGCGCCTTTGTGTATTTATTTCGAAATTTTATTTTAATTTTTACCAGCGTTGAAACTCCAACTCTATACCTGTACAAAGTCGAAAAAAACGCGTGCACGCAAGTTTGTACGCGAAATAACGAAGTGTAATTAATAATGTTAAATTTTTTCGCGATTTTTTTACCAAAAATCTTCCGACCCATACTTTGCGAATTTCTTAGACATTTCATTTCAGCAAATTTCGATAAAACATCTAATTTAAACAGTTGCTCTTTTTAAGAACTTTTTCGTATTTTATTTCTCATCAAATGCTGTTATTTTAATTAATTTAATAATATAGTGATGCGTGTATGCTGATGTATTCTCAACTCGAAAAGTATTGAAAATAAAAGAAAACATGAAACAATCATCAAAGGCAATAACGATCGGTATAGTGATCTGGTTAGTCGCAATTGAAATTGTATTGATCTACAGTTAGGTAACTCCATTTTTTTTACCATAATTCGTATTTACTTCAAAATTTCCTTAACTGTATTCGCCGAGTCCAGTATATCTGACAAAAACTTTACATTAATTTGTTTTTGCTAATAGCGAATGTAATTGAACGATTTTTTCTATTTAAAGGTCAAAATCTTAGAAATAAGATGTAACTTAAAATGTAACTAAAAAATATTTTTTATAAATAATTTTTTACAATGTTTGGCGCGTAATTAAAAAAAGTTCACTTGATTCGCTAATATCAATTAGGTTAAGAATAATAATTTCCATTTAACGGAGCCAATTTCATGACCTTAATATAAATTTATATAAAAATTTTTTTAATGTAGAATTAAGTCTAGTATAATTAAACAAGAAAAAGCTTCTTTATAAAAAACAAATATATTTTTTCTTTAATTGTATATTCTTAAAAAAAATAGTTTTATGCATTAAAATTATATAACTCCAATCATAAAAATTTATTTTGTATTCTTGTTTTTATATTTCTATTTTCTACATAGAATTTCCATTTCTATGTCAATTAGAGGGTTATAGAAGGAAATCAGAGTTCCCCAAATTTGTACAGATTGCGCTTTTTAATGTGACAAATATTTGCATTTCATTTAATTTTAGCGAATATGAAGAAGCGAGGGATAGATAAATTAATTATTTAATTATACCACTTCATTTATACCTTTATAATGTTCCTATTTGTTAATTTGTATTTTTTATCAAATACGATTTTATAATTCTATTTCTAAGATACATAATGAGATATGTATGAGGCATGTCCTTGTTTCCTATTTCTGTTGATAACAGCTTTAACATCTACATTGACGTGAGTTATTTTTGGACACAAGGACTTTGATAATTGTAATTTATTTCAAAATTTAGCTTTAATTTTTATCATTGTTGAAAATCCAACTACATACATGTACAAAGTTGAGAAAAACGCGCGCGCATGCAAGTACACAAAGTAACGGAATGTGTAATTAATATTCTTAAATTTTCTCGTGATTCACCAAAAATCAGTTCGCGACCAATAATTTGGGGATCTCTGAATTAGATAATTTATTTTAGTAAATATCAATAAAACATTTGTTTTAACAGTTGCATGCATAATCCATACAAATAAAGATGTCATATTTGAGGATCAAAACGTACAGAGAAATAATACAACAGTTCCTACAACGACGAGCTCAATGACAGTACCAACAACAATAGCAACTACATTACCGTCCATGACAACTTCGAAAAATTTTACAGAAAAAACAACTACTTTGCAAACAGACCATACACCGGGTTTTACAGGAAACACGAGTGTGACAACAGAATCGAGTGTTTCAACAACGACGAAAATAACGATTCTGCCTCCAACTCCGATTCCAACTCTGCCTCCGACTCCGATTCCGACTCCAATTCCTTCTGGGACTCCAAATTGGATACCTACAACAACAAATGCTACAGATGGAATTATCACAGATCCTTCAACGCAGTCTACGACATCCATGCGTTCTACAACAATGCCAATGCAATCTACATCGCAATGTGTATCAAACGTAACGTATTCATCACCCACGACAGCATCTTCGTATTCGACTACAACAGATGCTATAGAAATAACTACAACAAAAAATATAACACCGATAATTTCAACGACATTCGTAACTAATCCAACAGTACTTACACCTTCACCGCAATTACCTGCAGATACTACATCAACGTTTTCATCACCCATGCCGCCAGTTACAACGAAAACGACAAGTACAACGACAATTACATCTAAAACAAATGTAACGGAAAAAACAACGTCTACCGATATCAATGTAAACGACCCAAGTACGACTGAAGAAAATACATCAAAAATAACTCCTATATTTAATTATATCCTTAGAGATGATACAGGAGTGGCATGCGTTCTGGCAAACATGACGATTCACGTAAATTTGCAATACACAACAAAAGATTTTCAGGTAAATAAGTATAATAATATAATTTATAAATATAAATATCACACGCTTTTTATACCTTTCGGAAATGTTCATTACAACAATTTATATTTTTCTTTAATTGCTCGATTCGTCAGCAATTACATACATCTGTCTAATCATTATTTTATTGCGTCACAGAATATATATTTGCGCTTTTTAGATACTACCCATGGTAGAATCCATGTTGACGGTTCCAACGGATGCAACAACGACAGGTATTTGCCTTGGAAAAACAGCCAATATGACTTTGAGTTGGGAAGAACCAATTAAAGGCTACAACAATAAAAAGAATAAAATTACTTTTAATTACTCCCATGATAATAGCAAGTTTTTTCTTGATTCCATTTTCGTCGAATTGCATGGTAATAATTTCTCATATATCGAATTGTATTTTAGTCTGCAAAAATGTGTATAGGAATGTATAATATGACACACTTGTTTACCATCATATAATATGATACGCTTGTTTACCACTTAATTATTATCTTGATCTCTTTCATTTAGAAATATTATAAAAGTGTTTATCTCACATAAATAGAGGAACGTCGAGAAATACAGTCGAGAGTGAAGCTTGGTAATAATGTTTCTTTGTGAATTATTAAATACATTTTTCCAATTTTTATATTAGGCAACAAGATTTAATCTCGACTATATTTGGCTCTACTTATTTGTGTTATTTACATAAGTAATCTAGTTTAACTTATTATTGAGTATTTTTCTCATTATTTCATTTAAATGCCTTAAATAAAAAATATTTTCTTGATATTTGACAGAAAAAAAAACGATAGGAAACGCAACGATTAGGCATCAATTATTCTCCGCTGCGATAAAAGATGGAATATTTATATGCGAAACAAGCACTACAATAAATGTCGAGAACAAGATAAATGTTGATATTTCTGATATCTATTTAATTGTCTTCAATGAGTGTTTCAATAATTGCAGAAAAACAGGTACAGTAAACCTTACGATTTTATTAATTATATTAATTAAAAAATAGCTTTTATTAATTGTTTTTAGTTAAATATCCTGAATATATATATGTTTCAGTGACTGATTGCATTGCTAAGACAGTTATTAAAACCATCGTAATCATTGGTATAATAATTGTTGGTATTGTTCTCAATGTTGTACTTTATGTCTTATATTCACTATGGTATGTACAAAGAAAAAAATAATTCCAAAAACATTTTCAGATTTGTCAGGCATTAGTTTTTAGAGAAAATAATTTTAAAAACCACGAATAGTTTAGAATTTAGAAATCCCAATGTCAGTAGCATTGTAACATGTACATCAAATTATATATCACATGAACATCTTACAAATAGAAAATATTAGAGAGAAACATCTATTTTTATTTACAAATAAATATTTCTATTAAATTTCTATTATTTTAATAACGTGCTGTTATCTATGCACTAACACTATGCTTATTTTTCTATTTTTCCTTTTTTGTCACAGGAATAAGAATCCTAAGCCAAAATTCCTTTTTTCTATATTTTTATAATAGAAATCGTTTAAATGTCTACATTGAGAGAAAAATGTTTAGTATTTGTGACTATAATTGCATAATAAAATTCTTGTGGTTAGGAGCTCCATTTCTATAATTATTACTATTACATAATATTAATAATCATAGTTATATTTATATAGTTCAAATAAATATAAAATATCAAACATATATACAGGATGTTTCAAACTATACGCACCACCTGCTAATGGCAGAGATAAAGATATATTCTAATCACAAGAAATATATAATTACTAATTTACCGTTCACTGAACACTTAATTTTGAAGGTCAAAACCTATATGTTGATGAGTTTAAGTGTGATATAAAATAACCGTAAAAGAATTATTAAATTAGTTACTATTAGATACAAAAAGTGCAACTTAATTAAGTCACAGTTATAAATAGAAAAAGAGAAACAAAATTAAGTTATAGTTACTGAAAAATAGTAACTCTAATTGTAACTTTGTTACAAATAATGAATTATTTCCTAATCTTAAGCTCTATAATTATTTTACCGTGCATTTATGGTCACAAAAAATATCAAACAATTTCTCTCAATGTATGGATTGAATTGATAATCGTCTATTCGTGGGAGATGTGCCAATAAAGATTGCGTATGGCGCTGAGAAACATAGCGTTCTTTAATTAGCTAGACTTAACAAATAGTTTGGGGTTCAATCGCCCCTGTATCCGTCACGGTTACGCCCACCCCGATTACCTCGTTACTTGATAAACTGTAACATTTACAGCACCATCTGTGCAATCGTGTGAACGTTGATCAGCTGATGGATTCGAAGTATACATTCCTCACATAATATTGATTTCAATTCCAGTAATTCTCGGAGCGAAATTGATGCGATGTTGTCTACATAAAGTGTTGTTCTCTAACATTTTACGAATTTACATAGTGAGCATTCAACGTAGTCACCTAACGACGAGAATGTCACCTACGATGTACTCGCTCGGCGACGCGTACCGGAAAAAGATCGTATTTCAAACTGATTCCGGCAGAAAAAATATCAAACACTACAGACACACCCTTCGTTTAACACCTGGATATCATATCGCTTACAGCAGATGCTACAGCGAAATTTACGATTATCCCTATTAATTGGTCAGCAGGAATGTCCACTATCACGGGAAACATACGGGAGACATCGTTTCTATTATTACCGTGAGAACTATGAAAAATATTAAAAGTAAATTGTTCTAAATTGGCACGATAATATAGCCACTTAAAACTGATAATATGATGACAAAAAGAATATTTATATTATTATAAAAAGTAACAGAGTTAGAGAGAAAAGAAGAAAGACGACAAAAGCATTATTTATACATATTATACAATAAAACATGGAATATATTTCTCGTAAAATTTTTCATATTTTTGCAGCTGATATTTTCTAACTTTCTTAACTTGTTCCTATAAAATATTCCAAATTTGTTAGGAAAGATACCTGAGCATCTTAGACAGCGTCAGCTGTTCAGGCTCCGCGTCCCTTTAAAATTTAAAGATCCTGTAAAGCCTATTATTCCTCGCTCCTCGTTTGAACTGAACCTCTTTAACGACATTGAGCAGAGGGTAAGCTGTGAAAAGTGTCGTGTCGTCTATTTCGCAAAGATTTATAAGGGAAAATATATAAGAAATCTCTAGGGAACTCGAAGGAAATAACAAGCGCGCTTCTTTATTGCACCGATTGTACAATATATTTAGCTAACGATAGATTGCTATAAAAATACAGTGTTTCACAAAACATAACAAAACAACCTTGATGTAACTTAAAAGAAATGGTAATAATTTTTTGTGTAATCTTTAATTATAATCATAATTATATATTATCAAAAATACCAGTGCAATTAAAAGATGAATTAAAGGGATTTAACAGAGGGGGAAAAAACAGTTTCGCTAAAGTGAAAAAGTTTGGCTTGATACAAATCTAAAAATAATTTTGTTAAACCTCTAAAATAATTTTATATTAAATTAATTGTTAAAAACATTTTTTATAACATTACTCATTATGCTTCTACATAATTAGTTCCATAATCCGGTACAATTATTTTCAGATGTATACATAATATTTAAAATTTTTAGATACTCCGTGCTTTCTGTGAAATTTTTATTTCGCCCCAGTATTTTTATATTATACGTGTAATTAATAACTTCATAATTGTTATACATGCCACTAACTCTCAATTGATGCGAATACATGATAAAGAGAACAATGCTGTCTGCTGCCGATCTCGATCTTCTTCCTTTCGTAGGCAGAGACTAGACATTCTAAAATCAATAAATCTCAAGGGTCTAAAGGACCAGGCACGCGTGCCAGAAGGATCAGCCACGCGCGCTCGTGGCTTCTCTTCTTTCCGAGAAATAATTTGTGTTCAACCGACAGAGCGACTTGACTTGCTTCGCAGTCAGTTTCCCGAGAAACCCCAATGACTTCTATTAATACAGAAAGAAAGCACACTCGTCATCTTCAAAACCTTGGCCAGAAGTGAAAAATCCCGAAATTGCTTTATACGAAATTACCACGTGCCTGTAACCTCTCTTTTTTATCTTGAAATATAAGTAAAACAGAAGAAATACGTTAAACAACTCGTCCTGCATTGTAATAAAAACATTTTTTTAACTAAAATTATTAACTTTAAATAAAATGTTATTTTTGATAAACGGGAAAGGCACCGGGAATTACTTATGCTGCGATATATGTATACAAAATGTTGAAACATGACTCGTTAGTGTATTCTCATAAATGTATTTTCCTAGCTTTTAAGTAGTTTTTCCGTTGCTCGAGAACAGACACCTGTCACGGTTCAGTTGTTGTCACGCAGAGCGTGTAGTTTCGAGCAATTGCGTCGGACAAGTCAATCTGCCTGTTTCTCGAGCAAAGATAAAAGAAGAAGGAAGAGAGACGAAGAACAGATACGCCAACCGGAGGTTCCGGAGTTGCTAAGGCTCCTTTCTTCTCTCTTCTCTCTTTCTTTCTCTCTTCCTCTCTTTTTCTCTCGTCCTCAAAAAGTTACGGAGGCCACGAGACGTCTTGGAAGTATGAGGGCGCAGATGGGATTGTGTTTAATGAAGTTTGGCCCGAGTTGCACCTGCCACTTTCGAGGCATCTCGGACCAACGGCCGTTACACCGCCTCGAGCACCCGTCAAGAAATTGGCGGGAACTATATGTTCCCAGGAGTCTGCGAGACTCCTATCTGACAACGGCTATTTTGAGTTTCCCTTTTTTCCGTTTGAAACCTATCGTTAAAGTACACACGCGTTGCAATTGCGCGCTCCTACAATCGGACGCAGCAGAAAGATTTGCACGTGGTATTGTGGTAACGATATCATTTTCTCAATAGTCAAGAAACTTTGTGAGTTCAAACGATATTGCAGGTTTCACGATAAATAGAATGAACGTATACATTGATAATTTCTTGGAAACTTATCATCTTCTTGGAAATCTAACAAAGCATCCATTTAATTGCTTTTCAACTATGATGTATAATAAAAATTTATTAAAAGTATTGTTAATAAAATAAAATGCTGTTTCTCCGTCTACCTGTTTTTGTTCTTTAATATCTTTCTAACCTACATCAAAACAACTTTAATAATTAATATCGATAGAAGCTATAAAACTGCCCAGAAGATCAAATTACTTTGTGCCCACACGACAAGATGGTTCCTCGTTGGATCAACTCAGTTTTTTTCTCGCTCGAAGGGATATGTCCTTCCTCTTCCTGCTTCGACCATGGAAATACGAGAACTTAGTTACGCCAAAATGATGGGAAGAACAGGGATCTTACGTGACAGCGATTTAATTATTCCCGACATCTGGTACGTGTCGGAACGTTGAGTTTTCGGAACTGAATCTTTCAGTTTTTCAAATACATTAAAAATAAATTTTTTCTTTATTAAAATAATTAAAACATAATAGCAAAAATACAAAAATATATTACAAATTACTGGTCTGTTATCACATTCTAATATTTGTTTCCTTTATAAACAAAGGCTCTCGTTAAATCTTTCCGTTCATTTTATAACAAAAAGTTCTAATTTTTTAAAGATAATGATGCTTCACACACACGAGGTTTATAATCCATTAAGTTGCCGTGAGAAACATGTCTTTTATTTACGATTTAATTACCTTCAACATCTGGCTATCCTGCCTACGCTTCCTCACAGGATTTCCTTTTTCATCTACAATCTTCGACTAATCATCAATCTGTCTCTCAAACTGACTAGTCAAAATTTCATCAAAATAAACAAAAATCTTATTATGGTTTTTGCAAGATAAATAGAAAATTAAATAAAAAATATTGTATTGTTAAATTGAAACAACAATGAAATGATAAACTTCTTATATTAAAAAGTCAGAGATAAAGGCTTTAAAAGAAGTTTCAAGCTGGATGTTTAGTGCTTAAATAATTTCGTGTGAATTTATATATCATATTTCCCATTTTGCAAGACTTCTTATGCTTTCGTGAAAGAATCTCCCACTAATTATGAAAAATTGGATTCCAGTGAAACGGTTAATTTACACTTATAATGTAACTTATAATGTGGTGAACAAAAGATGGCAGATTTTTTCACGAATGCATAATCAAACCAGATAAAGACCTCTCACTAATTATAGAAAAGTGGGTGAAATGAGGGTAATTTTTACATATGTAGTTATAATGTGATGAATTAAAGATGTCAGATACAAGGCTTAACAATGGATAATTTCTCAGCTATGGTATATCAAATTGTCCATCAAATTCTGTAAGTACATGTTTTACACCTTTGATACACAGTAAAATTATCCATTATTGAACCGTGGCTCCATAATATCTTTTGTTTACCATGTTATGAGTCACATTATATGTAAAAACTAATTTATTCCAATGGAATCCGATTTTTTATATAATTAATGCAAACTTTTGGTTTGATTACGTCGAGAAAAAATGTATTTTGTTTTCCGAAATTATTCAGTCAAAAAACATGTCGGAAGCGTGCAGAATCAATATAGGACATTGGGATCTTTAAATATTCACGATCCAAGTTCTTCTCTCACTGAACGAAACAGCTGTTCCACCCCCTCCAACGGTGGCAACTGATCGTCGGCCGTCTTTTACCGGCATTCAGGCTATCTGAACGAACTATCGCGTGGAGGTGGAGGCTTCGAAAGGTCGACGGTAAATGTACAATATGTAGGTACGAACAGCTGGATCGGTGGAGATTCGTAAAGCTTACCGTCACGCCTTCCTCCCGCATTGTTCGAAATCTCGGCTGTACGTTTTTGCTTTCTTTCTCCATCACAGATTTTCTGAAGCTTCCTGCGATATCTTTTCGAATTAAGTGAGACTCGTAAAACTACGCAATTATAATCATACACGTCTATTAAGAAACGGGACGCGAAAAGCACTTGCATTGGAACTTCACATTTTATCGCCAGTAATATTCAAGTCCATTACTAAAAATCCTAGATATCTTTCCTGTGTCACTGAGTGATATAAAAATGTAGGTACTTTTAGGTATAATTATAGGAATTGATCCTCTAATTATTTTTACATGGAAAGAACGATTTGACTGAAGCATACAAAAATTAGATCAGATACAGATTTGAAAACAATTATAGACTATAATAATTATGTATGAGACTCAAGCATAATAATGATTAAAAAATTTAGACGTTATTTGATCTTAGAAATTTAACAATAAGAATATTTTAGAGTATACATATATGAAGAATTCCAGAGAAGATATGAAATTTCTTGCCATATCTGAAAAGTGTTATATAAGAAATCTGAGAGATTTTCTAACAAATTATAATATTATTCAAAAATTCTGGAAATTTCTGAAATTTACATAAAAATTCTCAAAAGTTATATGAAAAATTCTCAAAAAAATTTTCCAAGGTAACTTTAGCTACTCTTTTATCACGTACAAAAAACGAAAGGACGTTTGCGTCACTCATCGTAAGAAAACATCAGTTATTATCAGCCCGACGTCCATAAAAATCCTGCGAATTACAGCTCGTAGCGCGCAGATCTAAATTGACTGAAATTACAGTGTCGACCTTGAGCGTCGTTCTCTCGAAGAACGGTGTCACTGCATTCTCGCTCTGAAAAGTAGCTAACTGCCAACCGGCAATTTTTCCGCTTCCTTTTCTGCATCGTACAAGCACTCGATCCTACATGGTTCGTATCGGCAAGAGGAGAAAATAAACGAGCGCGAACTGCACGCACAAAGTGCACAGCAACATCCTGCGTTAAATGTTTCCTCCGCTCCGATGAACGCACGATTTTTGCGTCGCGTGGGTAAACTGGCTCAATTATTCGCAGTCGTTTTAACCTCATGTGTACGAAGACTGGCTATCAGCCGGTTGGATGCAACAAAGGATAGAAAAAATACGTCTTTATCAGATCTAAACGATAAAAGGCGAGTTAATTAAATCGTAAGCTCATGACAAAAAGCAACTTAATTTTATTAATGTCTTTGTAAAAGTAACATTACGTTAGCAATTGTAGATCATTTATCAATATCACATAATCTAAATAAAATTAATAAGAATTAAAAGATAAACAAACGGCAACTAAATTTTATAAGACGAATCATTCTGAAGAACATGAATCCGCTAATTTGACACTTTGCTGTCAAGTTTAAGATGTTGTTAACTATATATTATCAGCATAGCTTTTTTAATGTAACTACTCATGTGAGTAGTTTTCATTATTTCCTTTTTATTTTTCATTATTTCCTTAATTTAATAATTTACAATTAAATAAAGATTGACAATATTGAGTGAAACAGACCAAGTGTTTAAACACAAGTAAGAGAGGAAAAGAAAGCCACTTTCGGTTAAAGCGAGTCTTGAACTTAATTTTATATACATATATATATATATATATATATATATATACACAAATAAAATTATCAGTTCTATAGACTGTGCGTCGATTTGGTTTGTCGAACTTAAAACATAATCATAAATTGAAATAATAATTAATTTTATAATTTAATTAATTGTCAATTTAAAAACAATGCTACTAGCAACTCAGTAACCTGTAAAGGATTTATAAAGATTGATAATATTCTTTCATCCTTTAATTAAAGATAAATGCAATGTTTTTTAAATTTTGAAACAATTTGTTCTGAATGTTATAATGTGTATAAATAAGCATTCATGCATTTATCGAATTTATAAGGCAAAGGTATCCTGTTTGAATAATGAAAGGCTAATAAGGCGTTATTAATGCATTCAATTATATGTATAAGTTTTCTTTGATCAAAGAAATCACATTCCGAAGTACTCGAAAAAGACGATCTCTTGTACGTGAAGAGTGCAGCCTCGTGTGCATCCAATCGCGACGTTCCAGTGTTTACGACGTGGCTGGAATTTCAAAATTTTTAGAGCATCTGCAACCCAACGGCAGCTGTTTGCGCATATCCCATTCGCCATTTATTCCTGGTACAATATGACAAACGTGACGATGTACAGACGTCGTCTCATTTCCGTAAAGAATGTCAAACTGCTCCACTATCGCATTTTCTCGGATTTTAAAAAGAGAATTTACGTATGTATATAATATAATATTATTTTATTTTTATTGAGATACACAGTTCTATAGCGTATAAAGATTAAGAAGTATAACACCCAAAAAAAGATAATCTAATTATAAAGTGAAATTTCCGGTAACCTCATATTCTAATCAGAAACTTTTACAGAAAGAGTATTCCTCTTCCAATGCACTGGACTGTTCATGAAAAATGTATTGGAGATTATTCTAACAGTTTTCCTCATGTATGAAGAGGAATATATTTACTGAAAGAGAAGTGCCCTCTTACAAGTAAATTATATTAGGAACAGCGAGATTTTTACTGCAGATGCAAAACGAAAGTACTCTAACTGTAAGAATATTGTGCTTAGCATATTTTCCTCTTGATTTCAGAAGATTCCTCTTGAGGCCGTATATAAGAATAAAATTCTCTAAGATTTAGCGGTTTCTGCTAATATTAAAATTATTTGTTTTGGATGAACTCCTCCGACGTGCGCACGGGCATCTTGCGGCGAGCAGATGATGAAACATTGACCGAATATATCAAATTTCCGCGTAAAAGCAGCCACGCTAGCCACGCGACTGCTTCCGTTTATTTTCGTGATACAGGCACACGTGGAAAAGGCAGCATTGTTTCCTCGGAGACGCTTTCGGATACCTGCGAGTATGTACAGGTGGTTGCTCAACACGAGATCCATTGTCCAGCTTCTATCCCTCGTCTTACCGCTTCCTACACGATTACCCTTCGTAAATAAACCTATAGTATTTAGCGTAATAAAATTTCACCGTAGTGGTGGGTTTGATGACCTTAGTATAACCTTTAGAGAGGACAGAAATCTATTTTTAAAATCTTATAGCTTTTCCTTGAGTAAAACCTACGACATATGATGCATTTTTTCCTGCCGGATTGCTTATATCTTACATTTTAGTAAAAATTTAGAAATTCTGCGTTCTTTGTTATTCAATTCTAGTAATTTAAAATGTAAGCAATTAAGCAGGAAAAATGCATCATGTGCAATTGGATTAAAATTTTTTATAATTCATTAAAGAATTTAATTAAAGAAAAATAAATTATACTTAATATTATTATTATTATAGTAATAATATATATATTGTTATTATTATTTATTTAAGTTTACTAATTTAAGTTTTCAGTATATTTTACAAGTTGAATCCGTCGACTTGTAAAATACTACTGATGAGAATTCTAACGTAAGATTTACAATAAACCGTTTCGTGTTCATGTATTACATTAACTGACGTATAAGAGAGTTAATACGCGGCTGGCAACAATCACGGTTAACAGCTGACCGACACGCGGTGCGCTCCCGTTAATTTCGACGCTGAACGAAAGCCACGCGAGACGCATCGGTGATTCCGCAGAATTTTCGGGGTCTTCCAAGCGGGGGCACGAAGAGAATTTGCGAAGAGAGAAAGAGAGAAAGAGAGATTTAGACCGGCCCGCGGAGACGTTCGTCCTTTTATATTTGGCACATATGCTGCCAGGTGCTCACACCAATGACCAAAGGGTAGAGTTTCGAATTTTCTTACCTTATTCTTCGCGGTTTCTTCATTTCATTTCGTTGGATGTTTCTCACTCTTTTTCTTCCTCCCTGACGACAACGTCAGCTGCCGATCATCTTTTCATCCGACTTCACTTTCCTCCATTGCGGGGTAACGATCGTGCCTGCAAATGATAATAGCATGTATGGTGTTATGACAAGAATGCAAGTGCAAGAACGAAAGAAGAAATATGTATGACAGTTTAAGAATATATGAACTGCTGTTCATACATGTACAAAGTAATGATAAAAATAACGATAAAAGTAGTATATGTGACAATATTTTTAATTTCTTAAAAATGAAAATTTTTATTAATATAAGATATCAGTATTATATTAGTAAATATATTAATATTATATTTAATGTTATATATTAAATACATATTTTACCCGCTTTTTTATTGCGGGTTTTCGATGGAATTGCGCTTTCAAAGATTTGTAAAAATAGTTATAAAAAAAATATTAAACAATATCTATAAAAAAAAATATTTTACACTTTATATTTTTTTATCGCTAGAATATAAAAATACTTCAACTAACTATTTTTAGATTAACGTCGTAAATGAGGAAATATAACATTATCATTCCATTTATTATTGAAAAAAAAAATTATAACGATAATAATGTTATAAGTAACGCGTTATTTTCCAGTTTTAAAAACAAAACTTAAATTTCTGTCCCAAAACTTTATAAATCTTATGAACACTGTTATCAAATTAATATTAGCTTAAAAAAACAATATAATATATGAGTTTTATTTTTTTTATAATACTTCTATCAGAGTTTTTAGCTTATTGAAAAGGATTAAATTAAAGTAATGAAAGCAACGGCTCAATTGCAACGATAACATACGACCGTCCAGAATTTCTAAAAATCGTGAACACGCCGTCCATTAGATTGATCATAAAACCGTGAAAAATGATCGAGCCAGTAATTGTCTTTGGTATAAGTTAAAGTTGTGGCATTAGCTACATCCTGGCATGGAACCCCTGCAGATCGGTTTCTCCCTAATTTTTGACGATGTTCCGACGTCACGGTGTACTCGGGGACCCCGCTTGTTCCGGTCTGCTTGACCAGGACCGGAAGCGGGAGTCCGATGGAGAGCGGGAGGGACTCGAAACTCGAAATCCCCCACGGATATTGACGTTCCCGTGTTTAAACGAGGAGGAAGTCGGCATTTCCTCAGAGATCCAACGGCTGCGCCGAAACGAGAGCAGGAGGAACGATTTACACTCTGGAGGATAGCATCGCGGTTTACGCATTAATATCTGAGCGCTACAAAGATTTGTGGGGCAGATTTCTCGGCAAGTAGACTCACTTCTCAAATCTTATATCTTGTGAATATTCCTTATTATAAAAAATATTCCTTGTATCGATGGATAATAAGCACGTCAATTTCGCATGCTCATGCGTTACAGTATCACGTTCGGAAGTAATCATGGAATAATCAGAGAGCAAAGCGCGTAATACTGAGCAATAATAGCCAAACAGCTGCTTCTCACGGACATTAAAAGTGAAAAAATCTCAAGAAGCAATCACAAAACAGTAATGATCATTACAGGCACTGGTTCGTGGTGGTCACGGTGTTCACCTGTCCATGATGGAGCGTACAAGAGCATACGATGCCGCATGTGCACGCATACGCATCCACTACGAATGCGTCGACTTTATACAGCAATGTGCCCTGTACTTTTCTGTAACGGTCGAATTTACTTCCGTCCTTCGGTTGGCCGTGATACAGAGAGCCATGCCTTGAGCGAGCAGCGCTTATCACTCGATATCGTGCGAGACATTTATAATTATACGCGTCTGATCTCGTGATGACGGCAACGTGCGTCATCGTTCCGTGTACATATATATATATATATATATATATATACATAGAGTATACTTAGTTAATGTTTGTACATACATCTAAATTGTCTCAAAGAAAAAAAAGGGTCAAGACAAGCAATCAAAAAATGTCAAATAAAAATAAACATAAATTTTATTTTAAAACGTAATAACGATGGGACACTTTCAAGTCTTTTTCAGCTAAAATATAAATAAATCACAAAGTACAAAGTGTAGTCATGGATAAAAAATTGAACAAAAAATAAAAAATACAAAAATACAAAAATGCAAAAAATGTTAACTTTCTAGTATCCAGTTTGAGCATTCTACATAATTATTTTCAGGTTTATATCCGCAGTTAAATTTCTAATTCGTTCAACATAATTGTTCTATCCGTCTAATATATATGATTTTTCTTCTTGCAACTTCTTCAAAGAACTTAGGAAAGCGCAAGAAAAAGAAGCCTTATCGCAATAAAAAATATAAATCACAATCTTTAGTTCGTGGTACTCGTTTATGGATGACGTTTATGGATTATTATGGATCATGTTTGTCCATGCATGAGCTAAATCATCATCAAATCGATTTTTGTTGGAGAACAAAAGAAAGGAACTGTAACGCTTAAGGATGAGAAGTGAAACCTTAGTTTATTCTTTATATTTTGAAAGTGTCTAGTTTAATCTTTACATTTTAAATATCTTATATAGAAAGCGCCTTATCGTATTGAGTCAGGTTGATTCGCTATACAATACACAATATTCATAAAAAATGTGCAGAATAGAGAAAAAATAATATAAAACGTTGCGATCATGATTAATTGATTAGGTAATTTAAAAGCGAGACAACAAGGAGATTTAGCAGGAGAAAGCGACAAGATATTAATCTCACGAAACGATACTAAACAGGCATATAATATACGATGCACCCTTTATGTCACAGGGCTAATCATATGCAAACTACACGATTATGGGTATGGTGGCTCGTTCATAAGTCACTTCTGTACTAAAACTTCTATGCGCTCGAGAAAGCGATTGCGGCAATTTTCGAAGGGCGATTCTCTGCCTGGAACTTGCCTGGAACTTGCTTCCACTTGGTCTCTCCCTCTCGTTCTCCGGCTGCTTCACCTGCTCGGACGGCCATCCGAGTTTTTTCTTCTTGCTGCAGAACGCCCGACTTCCCGCAAAAATGCTCAGGGCAATCGTGCTCACGACAATTGGACGAACTGTCCTGCAGTCTCATCAATGCGCTTACAGGATCAAAACCATCTATTCTTCCAAAAAGCTTTCTAGAGAAATATTATTCAATTTCTAAACCTTACCTCAAACTGGAACTGAATAGAAAAACAAACTTTTTGTATCAATTTATATATAGCGTCAGGTTTGATCTGACATTTTTTCAAAATAACGTCTAAGAATAAATTAAATAAAATAAGAGTAACAATTTCATCAAGAAAAATAATAACGATAGTACTTCAAAAACATAAAAAATAATTAGAAAGGTAATTTTTGCATTTTCTTTTGCAAAAAGTCAAATTTAAAGAAATGAGAAAAAATTGTTTGTATATTATGTGTGTAATGATTTGTATATAATTTATACACGAGCAAATTTTTCTTGTTTCTCCAAATTTGGCTATTTCTGTGAAACAATGCAAAAATTATTGTGTTAATTAGTTTTATATTTTTCTTATTATTATTTTTTTTCTTGTATTAAAAAGTAATTTTACAAAAGAGAGAAGGATATATAAATATATTTCGTATAAATTATATGTTTACATATAAATTATAATCTTTATATATATATATATTTATATATGTTCTTATAAAAATTTGTTTACCGAAATTGAGAATTAAAGAAACAGTTTTTAAATATCTAGCGATTTGAATAAAAATGAAGAGAAGAATTTACAGATCAATGATAAAAAGAGAATCTTTCCATACGATTGGTAAGGTGTACCACCCCAATCCGAAAAAAAGCTCGTCGGAAGAAAGATCGTATCGAATTCTATCGCGACACGCTCGAACTACGATCGTGATTATTCAGTACGTCGCGCTACTTCGAAAAAAGGCAAAAAGTGCGCTTCATGGTGCACGCTCGGTCTTCTCTACCACGAGAGATCGCTTAGCATAATCCGTTGGACGATTTCAAACAAACGCGGTGGTGAGGGTACACGTGGAGAACATGCGCACTAGAGAAGGAACACGCGATTGGATGGCATCGTGCATGCAACGAGGACGTTACTATGCGAAATTCGCGCCATTTTTACTGCGCAACTGGCACGACGCGCCAATCAGATTTGAATTGAAACGTTTGGTGGAAGGGAACACCGGACCTCGTGGCTCGTTCAAACGGATACGAGTGGCTCCCACCACCGCTTGGAACGATTGCACATCCCACCAGAACTAGTCTGACCGTGGAGCAGTGAGGACCGAGAATCGATTGATCTTGAACGTCGCGCAAGCGACCGGTGAGGAGCGACCGTTCAAGAAGAAAACTTGACAGAAAAGTCGAGTGGATCAGCAGAATTTACACAGCCAAGGATTCTCCCGTTCTTCCGGAATACGCCGAATCGGAAGAACTGGAAGACATTCGACGCTCTCGGTATTATATTCGCTGAAAACGGAGAAGCGAGTACTCGATACGTACTTTGAACTGGAAAACAAAAGTCCCCGCGGGGATCTGCTTGCTCGATACTAACGTACGGTGGAAACACAACAAGTACCCGAAATGCTGGCAGCCTCGATTTGTCACGAAATCTACTACACGGTGTTGCCCAGTACGACGATGACCTCACGAGTACCACGCTGCCTCTTCGGCCGGCCAAATCCGCGGGAGACGATGGAGATGCTCCAGGAGGCACTGGACGCGGAGAGGAGCAAGTTCGCCAAGAGATGGGGAGTGGATCCTCGCTCCGAGGATAAGGAGAATAATTACCAGAGGCGGAACAACGAGAAGAGCGACCGGTCGCCCGGCAAAAAGCGGAGTAATCCGTATTCAAGGCAGACCAGCATTCACGGTGAGCAACATTTCTCTCTTCTCGCGAAATATCAACGCGCGCGAACTTAATCGACTTGGCGGCAATTTAGGCGCGCGAACGCGTCACGCGTCGTCACGTGCGTATTACTGTCTATTACTGCCTATGCCCGCGGAATATGCATGAAGGAGCATGAGTCATACGTTCGGCTCATGCAAGTTTCCCTGGACGGGCGACAAGCGTGAATTTCGCATGTACGGCGCGCGAAAGTAGGTCGACCCCAATACCGTCTTCTTCGATTTAATGCTCGCGAACGTAAATCTTAAAATATCTCTTACATTTAAGATTTCTTCTTTGCGGTTCAACTATTGTGTACTTGTTGCACTTGAAACGAAATAGATGTATTTATTTTAAGTTTCACGAAAATGAGATAGAAAGTTTTAGTGCAGCGACGAAGGACGTGTCTATGATACAATATGGCATGTCGCTATAAGTTTATTGAGGTGGGAACAGAATTATGTAACGATTCTCACGCAGTATGGTTATGGATATTCGGATACTTGCGACTCGTAACCAATTTGTCTCGTCGAAAAAATTCAAATCGGCTTTCTTTAACCAATAGACTGCTATTTAGCCTGCTGGATGACATTGGAACGGGATTGCGAATCTATCGCTGCGTCGCGTAGAAGGAAGCGGCGGCTTTTTGGCGGGAAAGCCGTGACGAAGAAAGGGAAGCCGGACGCGCAGACGCAACTGCGTTGGTCGCGTGGCTCCGACCTGTTTTCTTATTCTAAACCCGCCGCCTCTCTTCCGCCTTCTCTCCTCCTCTCTTCTCTATAGCCGTCCCTCGCCAGAATACTCCCGGCTACCCGTCTTACGCTCTCCTTTGACCAACCTTCCACCCTGTCGTTTCTTACGGCAGAAGCACGCGTCGTAAACGGGTCGCAGACCCGTTGCAGATAATCCAAGTGGTCTAAATCTCGGACTAAAGATCAAGAATTCATTTTCTCTTCGAAAAGGCGATTTACAAACACATATATAAATAATTTCCGTACATTTTATTTACCAGTTCTCCAACCAATTTAACATTTTTTTTTATAAATTGAATCCAATATATAAACAATTTTTTTAATTTTTTTAAATTGCTTGTAAAATGTAAATGAATAATTTCTACGATCTTTTTCGATGGATTTAAAATTTTTTAACTTAAAATTAAATATATATTTAATAAATTATATATAATAATTGTATAATTATAAATATATTTAAAAATATTTTATCCAAATGTGGAATATTTTAAAATGTTAAACTATTCAATGAAAAGTAATTAAATTTGTTATTAAATATAATTTTGTCAGAAAAATTTGTTTTACGATAGTAAGACACTACTTTTTTTCTACATAATTTTATCTTATTCGAGGAGATATTCAATGGTTTCTATGGAAGAACCAAATATATCTACAAAAAAAATACTCGCGTTATCACGAAAAGATAAGTGGACACGTGTGGTGTACGATTCGTGAGAAGCGATCGGTCGCCAGTCCATGCAGGATGAAGTTAGAGAAAGAGCGTCGCGATCGGGAATGAGATCACTCCTATGAGTCATGCATCTAAGGCGGGCGCGACAACGTACCTGTAGGACACTGAGTCATCGAAGGGCCAATTTCCAAGGAGTAAAAGAAACTCATGATTGCATTCCTTGGATTCTTCAGGCATGATGCAATCAAGCCCATTTCTCTCATCTTATCGCATGAATTCTTGTGCACAATGGACATATCATTTCTTCGACCAAGTGCAAAATATTGCATGTTACTGTAAATGAAACCAATATTGTTCGACCAGGTTGCACGTCCTTAGATTGAATGTGCCTTGATGGAAAGAACAATTTCTTGAAATATCTAAAAATTTAGTTGGATCTGAAAATAATTGTGTTGTATACTATCAAAATCATTAGGATGCTCGGAGCTAGTTGTTAGACTATCAAAACTTTTCACAGCATTGTTCATCATACTTGAGTTTTCTACATAATTATTTGGATAGTGCAAGAAAATTATCTTTAGATCTACATGTAGCACAATTTTTAGATACTTCAATAAAATTGTTCCTTTTGTGCTTTGGGAGACAGATTAAAAAAAAAATATTTATTTCTCAATCAGTGTATAGAATGGCTCTAAATATCCTTTTTGAAATTATATAGGAATTCATAGTGGTTCGCAAGTTAAAGAAATCGTTCGTACGTTGAAACACGTGTACGCGATAATCTTACCTGTGGGGTGGGGAAAACCCTATGGTTTCTCAACCTCGGACCGAGATCCTGTGCCTATTTGCACTGATAATCCCCCCACACACGATGACTTCTTGGGTTGGAACACAACGAGACCCTCGAAAATTCAACAGAGCGGGACGGCGCAACCAGCTCTTTTTCCACCGACACCTGTTGGCCCTTGCTAAGAGCCCATGACGACTAGAACGTCTTTTCCCACGATTAAATCAGACCCGCGAACACGCGATACCGTGCCGCGCGGGACCTTACGAAGGTCGCGCACCACCTGCTGAGACAAGTTGCATTTCATGCAAATACACTAATTCGCACTTCTCCTCTACATATCTAACATCTTTAAGAACCAAATTTTTATCAATCTCATGACATAAAGTACGACACACACACCCATACCTATATATTTAATTTTTTTTTAATATTTTATAACTTATTGGCGTAAACAATTTTAATAGGTATACATGTTTTCCATCCTTATATTTGCTCTGAGGTTAAAAGAAATAATTAAGATTTACATGCAATAAATAAATTTGTCAAATAAAGAAATATCTAAACTATCATCTTTTATACCTATTTGGTCTAAAATACACGATCAAAAACGTACTCTATTTTCATCTACAATTAACCGAAGGGAAAATAAACACGGGTCGTATAGCAAAACGAAGGATAATCGCAGCATTATTTTTCATGCCATGAAGAATAAAAAACTCTCGATATTCTTGATCCTGAGATATTGACAAAGGATTCCTTCAATTGCGACTTAGCAGACTTTGTGATCCGTTCGTGTGGTTTCCCCGTAAAATCGAAAACGCCTTATAGAGCATAGGATTCAAACGAAATCCTTCGCTCGAGTAAAGAACGCGTCAGGAGGACCGCATTCGGATCCGCGAACAAAAGAAAATTTTCGAGGTGGAATCACGTTCGAGACATATGGACAGGTAAGCGTCGAGCTTTTTTCGGCGCATCTAGGATCTATTTCGCGGCACGTTGAGGCGTAGAAACAGATGTTGACAAGCAAAATCGTAAACGCGACTGGAGAAAAGAGGAGAGAGGTAGGAGAGAGAGAGAGAGAGAGAGAGAGAGAGAGAGAGAGAGAGAAGACGTCGGTTGAGGAAGAACTTGGTTTCGCGCACCATATGGTGGACCGTTGCCAAAAAGAGAGAAGCGCAGAGAAAGGATCATGTCTTCGACATATGGCGGTTGTGGATTTTTTTCAGTCTTTTTCACGTCGATGTCGACCGTATTCTATTTACTGTATCGATTCACAAACGCTAATATTCCTCAGTAATTTAAATGCCATGTTACGGATCTTACTCGATTGAGTCATATTCCATTGTGAATATCAACCAGGATGTTCAAACTTGACCAAAATAGTTGTTGCAAGAACATGACCGCAATAATGTAACAATGTCAAATGGTTTGAGCTATAAATAGATGAAAATTTAACCGAATCTAATGCTAATTATAAATAACGGATGCGAATGCTTTGTTTCATACATTAGCCTTTTTACAGACTTCGTCACAAAATAAAAGATGTATAAACGTGATTTTTACGCCTTTCATATTTTTGTCAGAATATCAGAGAAAAGAGCAGATTTCCAAAACCGGTACTGTTAACATTAAGTCGCACCTGTCAAGTAGTCAGTCAGAAAAAGAGAGAAAAGCAGAAAGAAACGAGGGTAGAGCACTCAGGTGGCTACCTGATCGAACTAGGGTGCTCCTAAGACGCAGTCTTTGTTGTGGAAATTTCATACTTCTCTCGCACGGTGTTTCTATACAGGTTACTCTGCGTCCCCTGACCCCATCGATCCATGAAACCTCAACTATTACGGAATCTTGAGTATATACTTATTACGAGAGAAGCTCTACGTGTTCCGTCGCAGAGATACATATCTATTTACATGACGCGAAACGTAAGAATGAACAGGTTTACCATGATAAAAAAGCTGCAACGATATTATAACGATAACGAAACTTGAGTTAAGAGTTACAGAATAGCACTGCAGAACGAATGATTTCTTTATTAATTTCACTTGTTTTATACATATACCGTAATATCGGTATCGTTACCCTTTATGATGTTCAATCTTTCATTACCTATACTTGCATAGGATGTTTAGCCTTAAAGCGGCTTCAGCTGACAAGGCCAATGTACGCCAACTTTACACACATTCGCTAAACATTGACCTACATTTATATTGATAATTATGCATTTATGTGCGTGTGTGTATGTGTAATATTTGCTAATGTGACATACATTGACCATGTCATCTGGAGCCGCCTTTATAAAATTGCTAAATGTATGATAAATGCTATTGTAATCATTATAGGTATTTAATATTTAGAATAAATTATTTCACAATTTAGAAAAATGCATTTATATATAAAATTGCATTTATATTTCTTCATCTAAAAGATATATAGAATATTATCAATCTTTATTTAATTGTGAACCAAAGAGAACAATAAAAATTGTAATGTAATATTGGTATGTTAGAAATGCCCCAAGCAAGTTTTAATTACGTTAAAAAAAATCGCTCGATAATATGAAGTTAAACAATACATATTGAATGATAACCGTATAATATTTTTGTTACAGATTATTGGCGAGCTCGAAAAGTATGCGACGTGAACAAAAAGCCGCTGACGGCCACAGTGGACGTGTCGAAACAAAATGTGGAATCGTCGAAAACAACGAAGGCGATCCCTACGACAACAACAACAACTATAACGAAAAGCACGTAGAAGACGTTGAACTAATCGTATATTCTGTTGCACAGACCCCGCGCACACGTGCGGTTTTCTTATTTTGCTGCGGTGGCGAAAAAAATCGCCATGTTCACTTAAATGTACTAGGCGGCAAAAAACTAACCAGAAAACAGCTAGCTTGAAATTACTTAAAAAAATTAATATATTTTAGCGGATTATTAAAATATTATTTAAATACTATTTTTAAAAGTAATTATAAAGAACGTACTGCACAAAGCGATGATCGCCAATTAATGAAAAGTGAGCACAAATTCTTAGGCGCGGGGTTTTAACGATTGTTTGCGTAAACCGGACTTCGTCTTTCGTTACTGAAATTTGTATATTTATTCCCTGATCTTTCGAGCATTATATGTTATCATCAATTATTGAAATAATCCTCTTTAGACTTAATCGCGACGGACGTATTAATTAATTTTTGTAAATAATTCGTCAAGAATGAGAGAGAGAGAGAGAGAGAGAGAGAGAGAGAGAGAAAGAGAGAGAGAGAAAGAGATACAATATTTATGGAGGTTTGGATGGATTCATCGTCGTGAGAATTGTGATCGTCAACTAAAATGCTTAAATGATTGATAAATCAATTTAGAGCAATTTATTGATGTGGTTTTTAACAGTATATTAAAAACTTCTCATGGCGGCGACTATTCATTGAAAGCCTGAAACGGTTGGTTCCATGACGAAGCCAACGATGCAGCGCCTCCAAAGACTAATTGATTACAAACGTCTATTCGCAACTCCGCATTCTCATCGCAAGAGAGACAGGAGAATGTCCTATGTACATGTTGTCTTAGAATTAAAAGGGAAAGTTCTCTAGTCATTTAGTCATTTAAGCTAGTAATAAACTATTGTGCTTTCATTCTTACCTATTGTGTTATTATTTCTTCACTTCCTTTGCTATTATATTTGAAATACTGTATATCAGAACTATTTTATAAATGTTGTTACATACATACATGAGATAAGTATGCTGTAAGATAATAGTTGTATAAAAATGAAAATAGATAATTTTTTGAGCTATATAAAACATCTCTCATTTGACTCATTGATATTCATTTTTACCAATATAGATTAACTAGAAGAAGATTAAAAGTAAGTTAAATCAAGATTAAAGGTAATCTACATTGGTGGAAAATAGAAATAAATATTAGTATGATTTTTATGTAATATCTTATATTCTATACAAGACGTACAAGATAAATCTTCGGTATTTTAAAACGATGAAAAATCAAACCGAATACATATATATTTCTAAGCACTTTTATTTTAAAGAACAATTAAAAAAGTTTTTACAAAAAATTATTAAACTTCTATATGAATACTTTTAGTAGTAAAGTGTACGAAAAATCCAGCAGGTATTCCACTTCACACCAAGTGCGCTGTAGAATTTCACAATATTATTATGATGCCAATAGCAGTCACAATTCAGTTGTGCAAAAAATTTATGTTCAGTATTTTAATAGAATAAACTGTATTCTTGATATGCCTCCAGAAGAAAAAATCCAAGAGAGTGGTATTACAAAACGAGTCAGAGGAGTTGGAGTCCCTTGCAATTATTCAGAAAAACCACTAAAAGTATTCACTTGGAAGTTTAGTAAGACATTTTTGTAAGAAACTTTATCGTTCTTCAATAAAAATATCCAAAAATATATGTTTGTTTTTATTTCTCATTTCTATTTATACGGCATTTTATACAAACATTTAGAAATTGTAACCTTTTATGATCATTCTATGTATATCTTCTTTGGATTAATTCAATTGATATAAATTAATTCTACAAGTAAAACTTAAAACTAATCAATTGAGACAGTAGTAGTTATTCAACGCCGTATTACTATGCTGTAATATTTTTCCATCCAAAATTATCTATATTATCCAAAGTCTTTTAAATTAATAACATGTTATACAGACGTTAAAAAGCGGTAGACATTATCTATTCCATCGACACGTTTTATAGGGTAATCGACACGTGGAGACTCGAGTCAAAATCATCGAAAATTAGACAGCTGAGCAATACGAATCGCGCTTCGTAACGAACATTTTGTAACATCCATCTGGACGCGTGCCATGGTGGTCTCTCGATGGACACGTGGAGGTAAAACTAAGGGTGATACAGAAACTGTTGCGATGCACACGTACGATAATCAGTTACTCATAAAATTGATCCAATATTTTAAAAATTAAAAAAAAATTGTTAACACACTAAAAAGAAAAGAAAAAACAATAAAGATATTGAAATAAAGTTTGATAACTTGTACATACATTATATCAGAATAATACAAATAAGAAGAATGTTTCTAAAGTAAGAAGTCTAACGAACATCTTTTTTATATTTTTTAAATAATTTATGAGACAAATGTTTTTGATGTGGGTCACTATATGTATATAAAATTTATTTGGAACATAATTTTACAGTAAACTTATAAATTAAATAACGACAATATCCAAATATATACGAAATTGGATTTATGCTAATTTCTAGACAAAATACATTGCGCTGAGTGCAATAAATCTTTAATAACAATATATTATTCTTTAATATATCTCGATTACATGTTTTCTACACAACTCAAAAAACTAAGTAGTTTCTAGAAAATAAGTTCGAATATTTAAAATTTTTAGAGTATTAAAATTTTGTTTATTGTTATATTTTTAATTTTAAAATGTAACTTTAATGTAATAATTGATTATATAATAATAAAGTTATGTTCTTTTAAAGCATTTTTATGATTCCATTTATTTTTTGTAAGAAATAAAAATGACAATTTTTTAGTTATGTTGTTATTGTAACAAATGAGCAATATGTACATTTACGTGTGGCAAAGTACGCGATTCTAAAACATAGTTTTACAATGGCAATAAAACGTTACAATATTTTTTTAATGGCACTCTGTGTAGGTGAGTAGTTCACTTATCTGTACGTCGATACGAGCATGGGGGTGACTCGGCGTGGTCGCTATATGGTTAATTATAATGCACGATGCACCGCAGGGTCTTCTACCTATGGGGGAAACTCCGCGAAGGGAAGCAGCTGCGGTTCATAGTTTTAATGGCTGTCATCCTAGCTGGTCATTTCGATAATAGTAACTAATACGGTGCCTCTCGAACACGAAACCATGCCTGCGTTAAATCGAATATTGACGAAATGTCGCTTCATAAATGGATTTTTGGCCGTTACTTATTGCAACGGATGATTAGCATCGATCGTATGATTGATAGGAAATCATCGAAACGTGTAAATTAAATTTTGTATGAATGTGTGCGTGTTCCGACAATTTTACATCAAATTTCTTATCTAACGCATTGTCAAAAATATAAAAATATCATAAAGTGAGTTACATATTATTACATCTGAGTTGAGTATCTATGTAGAATTTGATAATTCTCTCATTGGTTTAAAAGTTATTTTTTTTTTCGTCCCGATTCTTATGTAAAAGCACAATGTAAACCTATTTGCAAATAAGGATATAGCATCGTGAATAAAATCAAATTTTTTGTATATATTAATAAAATCCTAATAAATATTTATGTAAAAATTTATTTGGATACAATTATTTGTTTAAAGTTGTGGCAAAATATCGCACTACATAAACCATTACAAGTCAAATTATTTACTGTTTGTTTTTTCGCAGAGGACTAACAAGTAGAGTCAAAGGTTCCGTAATCATATTTATTAATTGACAAATATATTTAAAACTATTTAAAGAAATTGACACCCATGTTGCTTGTTAATTGGCCTCATACTTTATTATATTATTATTATTATATAATATAAGCCAAGTAAATTAATTTGTTTTCTATTTCTTAATTTACGATTAGAAATTATAAATAATATATTGTCCCGAATTCTGTACAGAATGATATATCGACTAAAAAATTTAAGCCGTTCATGACTTTGAATTTTAAAGCTTCCCTTAGTCCATCGATAGAAGGACACCAGGTGTGCTGTTGAATGTACACTTAATGGGTGTCTATCGCTGATACACGTGTAATTCACCCCATCGTACGTTTAATTGATTGAATTAGTTATAGAACCAGTTTGGATCGCGACAGCACCTGATCGTAACAGTCCCGGCTGATCGATTTTGATGAATCGCTTGCGATCGCGACTGAATGATCTATCAAACAATTTTTTCTGCTACACAAAGCTATAAATCATTTTTTTTTAGATTTATGCTTTCATTATTTGATCGGATAATGGATCGCATATTTTATTACTGATGAATCAAATAAAAGATTTCAATCCAAGGTATGTAGAAAAACTTTCTTTTTTGTATTCATCTTCTTTTTTTAATATTTTAAGCGTAACGCAAAAACCGATACCTAAAATATTTCGTAGATATATTCTGACTAATCTGAGAATAAAAGGATTGCATCTTCTCATTCATCTTGAAAATGTCACGAATTACTATAATCGCGTTGAACATCATGATAAATTACCAATGATTATTTGTATGTTCAATCTTTTGCAAAGTGTATCTACCGCAACAGATCATTGACGAAAACTTTAACGGTTCGTTCCTGCTCCCGTGAAAAACTTCAACTGTCGTCCAGGCAAACTGGTGGCAAGAAAACGTGTGTCGGCAACGGCGATAAATTGCGATCTTTACGGTGAATCGGGGCGGTCCTAAATGAGAAGGGTAAACGTCCGATCGAGGATCATCAAATGATGTCCACAATGGCCAAAACGAACTCGCCCAGTAGCATTTCACTTTTTAACGGCAACACGCGTCCATCCATGTCTCTCCCCGCGTGTATCTACCATAAATTAACTAATACCCTGTAAACACGCGCTCCTGAAAGAAGGTCCAGCAGGCCGCTCTAATTAAAGGACATTCATATCGAGAGACCCGCTTCGTCAACCCCTTTACTTTCGGCTTTCGCGAAAACTGGTTCGAGTGTCCGTTTGGCCTGACCCGCCACGCGAACACCATTTGTCCGGTTTTTTTTTTTTGCATATGATTTGGCACTTTCGGATTTTTAGTACCTCGCAAATGTGTCTACCAACAGTCGTATTGACATTATAAAATAAAGATCTCGTAATATAAGAAAAAAAGATTGATAATTTTTATTTATTATTAGATTTATCTTATATATAGATGAAGGAACTTGAAATAATATTACAATGATTGAAACTTACTATGATTTTATACCATAGCAGTCAACGGACGTGAAGTATAACACGTTCACGTTTCTTCTTATATTAAACTTTATATTTTTATTTTTTTCACTTTTGATATCGTTTTGTTTAAAAAAAAGAGCCAATTTAGTATTTTTAAGGTCTCATTCGTATTCAACGCATCCAAATTAGTAAAAAATTATTTATATTATTAAAACTGAAACTTAAAAACTTATACTTAAAATTATATTTAAAAACAATATGAAAATGATGAAATTTTAT